ACGGACTTACTCGTCCTCCCCTGCGAACCAGATGTGGTCCTTCGGACGTATGTCTTGGGAGGAGCGGGTTCCACTCAGTCTCCTAGTCAAGCCTGTCTCAGTGCGATTTCCGAAGTTATATTTATTTTGTCTAACATGCGTGGCGCTCCTCAGCAGCTCCTGACGGCCGGGCTGAAGTTGCGTGTTACCGGGTGTTGTGTTGTGGCCGAGGTGGGGAGGTTAAGGGAACGTGCTGCTCTTTTTGCTGCATTTTCCATTTGTTTTCTCAGCTGATGTTGTTGCAGGCTTTGCTGCAGGTCCTGCTCAGGGCACAGCCACGCGTGTGCCGTGACTTCTTCGAGGGCTCTGGAGGCACTTCTGGTTCAGGCTGTAAGTCACGGGCTGTGCTTGACTCCGTGCCCCAACTCCAGGGATTAAACCAACACAGAAGGAGTACTCAGCCCTTTAAAGAAACACATTGGTATTGCAGATGGCAAGGTCACTTCTTCTCAAGTTGGTTTCCAGGGCTGGAGAAGGGAAAGGTCTTGGACCAGGGCTGTGGGAGCAGCCCCCCAGCTGCAGACCCCTGTGCTGGCCCTCTGCCGCTGCCTTCCCCAGGTTCCGCAGTGAAATGAGAGCATCCACCCGGCTCCTTGCCTTTCCTTCCAGGATCGGCCCTTAATATGCCTGTCACCATTTAATGGTACGCAAAAGGGGGAACGAAGGCACGTCCCGCTGTCATGATGTCCACTGGTCTCCCCAGAACCTTCCTTCTTCTGCCAGGGGGGATCTTGGTACAGCCGGGGTTGTTCAGTGCCCTGAGGACAGGCAAAGCGGGGCTTGGAGATGGAGTACGGAACGTTACGGCCTTTCCCCCTCCCCAACCGCTTGTGACCTGCCCGTGGGCGCAGGTTGGGTTTGCAGTGACTCCCCGACGCTCACAAAGGGAATTTGGGCCAGAAGGCACGAAGCTGCCTTGAAGACAAAAGCCCTCCCTGCTTATAGATCACACGTTGTCGTCTAACAGATTTCTTTGGCTAAAGAGCCTATTTTTCTCACTTCCGTCACAATCTTTCAAGGTGTGAAGAGCCTTTAGTCAAGCTGGAGGGAGAGAGAACAGTTTCTGGGGAAGGGACTGGGTTGCTCTGGGGTTTATTTGCAAACCACGTCACGAATTCTCTTTTTGACTGTGTTTCTCAGTTCACAGATTGTGATCTGCAAAAATTTTTGGAAGGAGCTAGTGTTTTCCCTAATTACAGCAAACGGGTGCCGATCATCAAAGCCTTTTCGAATTCCTGGGGGCGGTTTGTAAAGTGTATTGGAGTCCGTGAGAGTGAAGGGTGAGGAGTGGTGGTTGCATTGCCCATTAACCACAGCTTCAAAACGGGCTCTTCTCCTCTGCGGAGATTGTATCTTCCCCTAAGCAGAGGGCGAAGGATATCGCTAGTCTGTGAGTAACCTGATGTGTGCTGCCTGTAATGTGCTTGGGGGAAGGTGGGAAGGGGCAACCACGGTCAACAGTAACATTTTTGTTACTAACTCAGCATCTGAACACACAAACATCCATTTTTTTATGGATGTGGGTTTATTACTGGTTGCTTTTTTTTTTAGTGCTTCCTCTAACCCTCTAGCTCTTAGATGTGGTTCTGCATCCTAGTATAAAGAAAGCAAAAGGACTCTTAAATTTAAAAATAAACTCTGCAGGGGAGAGGCAAGGTATATGTTTTGCTTTTCAGTTTCTGTTATGTTTTATTTATGTATGTAAATGAAGAAAGGTACCTGTATGTGTCTGTTAGGGTATATAAAATATAGAGAGCTCTTCTGCCAGGTGAATGTGACAGTGTCCCTGTCTTAAAAATATACATTATAAACTTCCAGTCACTGTAAGCACGTGAAAATTAAAATACCCAGGCAACCTTTTTGTTGCTGAGGTGACTTTTGGGCTGCTTTTTTACTCCTAAGCTGCAGCAGACAAATCACATTTGGGTGGATACAATCAACCTTGTGCAGTCAGTGTTTCACTCTTGGCAGTGTGGGGAGATGGTGTATGTTGTCATCCGCTGCAGGTCTGTGCGTTTGGTCTTTTGTTCCTTCCTTCAGGATATGTGGACACGACTCCCCTCTGTGTACTGCTGATTTGCTGGTCGCCCTAACCAAGAGGACGATAGGTAGACGTGAAATAAATGGTGTTTAGTCAAAATCTGTGATGCTTACAGGTGGATACAGGCTGTATCCTGCGGCTGTGGGCAGATCAGGTCCCCTGCTCTGTGCGGGCATGTGTCCTGCCGAGGACAAACTGGACTGCAGGATGGGGCAGATGGAGCTGGGACATGGCCAGGGTGCTGCCCGGCAGCACATGGACCGCTTCACCTTGTCTACAGTGTCTTTGAAAGACTAAATAAAAAAACCCAACACCATACATTAAAAACTTAGACAATCAGATAAATGCTTACTTCTTTCTGTCTGCCGCGAGTCCCCCTGCTCAGCCTTAGGACCTTCCAGCGCCGGTAAGGCCACATCAGCAAGCAGCAGGAGGAGTCTGGCTGCGATGAGATACAAATTGCAATATGCTATCAATAAACTGCCCTGTAGTTCCACATGTACCAACAACAAATGTTGTTGTTTTGCGTAGAGCTTTAAACTTCTGCTGATAGCCCAAATGCAGACATCTCGGCTTTTAGCCCGTGCCCTGCTGCCCGTTGAACACCGGCTTGTTAAGAACTGAGCCCTGTAATTTAAAGTAAGAGGAACTCACGCGCTGAAACCTGAGGCTGTACATTAAATGTTTTGCGAAGTCCAGGAATTTGGCTGTGATCTTTTGACTTTAGGCTTGAGCTCCACTGTACCTGTCAGTAAAAAGCACTCAGCCTAGGTGTTTCTGAAACCCCTGCTGTGCAGCAACCTGCTGTGCTCCTTGAGGGTCCCCGGCACGGCTCTAGGCTGATGTTCAGCCTCTGTGGCACTTAGTTGTTCAGGATGACCTTTTTCTGCTGGAGATGTTTTCGGGCAGGCTGTGTTTGATCTCTAATCTCACAAGTGCGTGGCAAGGTGATGTTCTGTCTGCTCGGTGGACTTTTAAAGGCTGGGAACTGGGCAAGCTCTGGTGAAAACAACCTTGGTGCCCCCTCCTGCCCCAAACCCATGAGGGGACAGCTGATGTTGGAAGAACCCTGGAAAGTCCTCTTGGGCAGGGCATGGTGCTGGCTGAGCTTAGCTGGAAAGGCTTGCTTGGATGAAGAGAGAGGGAGACATCCTCAATCTCCACTGCTCTTCCAAACTCATTTGGAGAGGAAAGGAAAGCGCGTACCCTGTCATCCTGCCCGCGCTGTGGCCCTTACTGACGCAGTGGTGGAGGGAAGCTAACTGGGCTCTTTGGTCAGCTTGGGCAGTGCAAGTGGTCGTCACGACCTGTTGATGATTGAGCAGGAAGGAGTCCACACTGTCACTAGCTGATGCATAACCCCCTGTAGAAAGAAAGATGAAATCCCCATCCAGGGTATTCAGGAGCATGATGACTCTCAGCTTTACGCGCCCAAAGCTTTGGCAGTATTAAATTTGACAGACCTTTTGCACCACTGTCAGTAATTAGAGCTCTGATGAATGCTTTCCAGTGGCATTGGCATGGGCATCTGACCGTTGCCTGTTACGCTTTGGATATGGTAAGGAATATGGTAAGAGAAAAAACAAAACAAAAAGAAAATAATTCAGTCAATAATAAGCCACAAGAATTGACTTGTAGCCAAGCTGGTCCTGCTTTGGAGTCTAGCAGTATTTTGTCCTAAGTGACAACTGGAGGTGAGCG